TCGCGAGGACCGTCGACCCAGCCGCGTTTTGGCAGATTTCCAGCAATTAGAATCCTTGTTTAATTAGGTTTTTATTTTTATAAATAGTTTGAAAAACCTCGTTTTTGAGGTTAGACTCTGTATTGTTAGACATCATATTCTTAGACTTTGAGTATTAGTGTTGGATTTTGAGATTCTTGCAAGTGATTTTTGAAGATTAATCAAGCAAATTTTTGGATTTTACTAGTTCTCATTAAAGTAAGTACATGAATTCTTATCTACTATATTTGATTATTGTGTTTATGGCTATGAGTAACTAAACTCCATAACTAGGGTTGTGGGAACCATAGGCACATAATGAGATAAACCCTAACTAAAATAACAGTTCTAGATAAGTTTCTTGCATGTATTAATAATTATTTCACTTAGAAGTCCTATTAACGGATGACCAACGCTACAACTCGCCTTAATGCTACTTGCCGGACCAAGGAGGTAGATAATAGGAAAAGAATTATTACAATAGATTTCGTGTAACTATCTAATAGGCTAGTATTGATTGGTACAAGGTAATAACATAGTTAAATATCGAATACGATGCTTAATATGAGGTAAGGATAAGGGTTAGGATAACAACACACGTAGCCGGACCAAGGTGCGGAGTGAGATTTTCTACATGCCCGACCAAGGATTTAGAAATATATAACTTATCACTTTGCATGCAAGATACTAGGAAAGAATTTTTATAGTTAGAGTTATCAAGTTATGAACCTGTGGGGAACACGTAAACCCTATTTACTTTGATTAATTGATTAAAATCCAACTGTCAAAGTTGTTAAGTTTCTCTTTCAAGTTCGTTATTTATTTTCACTCATTTCGAAATAGAAACCCCCCTTTATTGTTTTTACTTTCCAAGGAAGTCATTGACCAAACAATAGTAATAACAGGTTGAAGTAAAGTCTAGACTATTTTCCTCGTGGGAACGATCACAACCTCACTAGTTGGGTTTACTTGACAGGACTGCTTTACTTCTTATTTGAAAAGTAAGTTTGAGCGTATAACATTCCAACAGTGTTTGACATGATACTAAAGACTATATTAACCTTACGCATAAGATTCAAGATCTAATTGACCTAGAGGTGGTCTCTCTTCAAAAACCCGCGCCTAATGTCAACATCATTCTTTTGCCGAATCATGGAGGCCTCAATATCATCATGATAGAGACAGACGATGATTTGTATGGGACTAAGGTGATAACTCCAGTCATGAGTGATAATCTATAAAAGGTCGTGTCCTCATTAAGTGTCAAGGAGAAAAAAATGTTCGTAATTCTGACACCCGCAAATGCTCTTTACTTGGTGCCACCAGAGACTCTCCTCAGGCCAAAATTTATGATTGAGACGTCCGTTGCACAAGTAATGACCCAATACGAAAGATGTTATACTCCTATAGATCTTGCTCTCGAAGGTCAAAAAATTTATGAAGCTAAAAGTCAAATAAGTGAGGGTGAGGTAGAGGAATTCTAGAGAAGAATGCAGCCAAAAGATTATTCTATTGCCAACCATTTGGAGAAGACTCCAGCCCAGACCTTCCTATGGGCTCTGCTGATGAGTTCCCAATTTCATAGGAAGGCTTTGATGAAGTCTCTCAATGATACGTATGTGCCCATGGGCAAAAGCAACAATAATGTGTCCTCTATGATCTACCAAGTTATCCGAGGGCATCGAATTAGTTTCTGCGATGATGAATCACACAACAAAGCATTGCGTATAACATTAGTATGTCGTGAGAAGGTCGTAAATTGTATTTTGGATGATGACAGATCTGGTGTGAATATTTGCAGGTTGTCGACGCTGAGGTAGTTAAGGTTTGACGTAGTAAAACTTGAAGCAAAGTCAAGTCAACATGAGAGCCTTCGACGGAGTACAGAGAGATATGTTAGGAGTGGTGAATCTGATCATCAAAATGGTTCCAGCAGAATTCAGTGCACAGATACAAATATTGGACATCGATACCAACTATAACCTTTTTTTGGGAAGGCCTTTCATCCATATGGTTGGAGTTGTCCCTTCTACTATGAAACTTGTTAAGAATAACGAAGAGCTGGTTATTAATGGAGAAGGGAGTCACTCCGGCAGACAGACGCCGATCATTGTTGGGATATCACGAGGTACATATTTCTACACGGTGCAGCTGGTAAATTCTACCGGTGAAGACTTATCCCCACAAACTCCCATGCCTTCCGTGTACAACATAATAGCCACTGTGATGTTGGAAAATGGTTTTGAACAAGTTTTCAAATTGGGAAGAAATAATCAAGGAATTATTGAGCCTATTTCGGTCCTCGTCAAGGGGGCCAAATATGGTTTGTCATACATCCCCAAAGATGATGACATGAAGATGAAGACGAAGAATGATCAAGCATTGGCTAAGTCGTTCCCACATCTGTATCAATCCTTCCCAATCTGAGAGTATGCCGAGCATTAAGAGTTTGTGAAAGGAATTTGTGACCTCATTGAGGAGATCGATGATCTTATTGATGAAGAGGCCGAGCTAGATGGTATCCGTGATGTTGGGCCAAGAGAATTGCTACAGAACTTGACCTCCACACCCATCCTGATCCCCCGAACTCCTCGGTAGAAGGGCATCATTTTATGCATATTTAAAAATCGGTGGTTGTTTGGAAGAGGCCTGAGACCTACTATTTTGCATGTGTCTTAACTGTTTGAATCATTAATTTTCCATCGTGATGTTTAAAAAGGAAAAATGGCCTTGTTCAATGGCCAAAGTTTGCACTGTTTTTCAAATTTGCATGAAAGCCTCTTTTTTTTGAAAATTTGTTTATTTAATCATCTGCTTTACTTTACTTTCCTAACTTTGTCTATTTGTGGTTTCAGTTATATAAGTTTACAACCTTCCGATGCCATGTCATGTCACGAGCTGAACAAATACGAAGAGGGAATTGAGGCACCAGAATATGTTGCTAAAGAATTTCTACAGATTGAAAACCATCATAAGTTAATTTTAGAGGAAACTGAAGCTATAAATCTGGGAGACCAAGAGTGCTTCAAAGGAGTCAAGATTAGGGTTTACCTGAATAAAACTCAAAGAAAAGGCCTAATTCATTTATTCACTAAGTACATTGATGTGTTCGTCTTTGAAGTCTGGGATATGCTAGGGTTGACTACCAATGTGGTGTCTCACAAATTGCCGATAAATCTAGGGTTCAGTCCGGTGAAGCAAAAAACTAAAAAATTTAAGACTGAGTTGAGTTTAAAGATTAATGTAGAGACCACCAAGCAAATAGAATCTCGATTGGTGGAAGTGACACAATACCCGACTTGGTTAGCCAATGTTGTTCCGGTTGCCAAGAAAGACAGGAAAATCAGGATTTTTGACGACTACATAGATCTCAACAAACCTAGCCCGAAGGATACTTTTCCATTTTTGAATATTCATAATTTGATTGATAACTGCGCTAAGCATGAAATGCAGTCATTTGTAGATTGTTATGAAGATTATCACCAGATTATGATGGTTGAGGAAGATGTAGAAAGGAAAGCTTTTACTACACCTTACGGTGTATATCATTACAAAGTTATGTCATTTGGCCTCAAGAATGCTGGTGCTACCCATATGAGGGCTATGACGACCATATTTCATGATATGATTCATAAAGAGATCGAGGTGTATGTGGATAATGTCATAATCAAGTCCCGCGAGAGTTCGAACCATTTGACACATTTAAGGAAATTCTTTAATTATTTGCGTTGATACAACTTGAAGCTAAATCCTACCAAATGTGCTTTTGGAGTACCAGCCGGAAAGTTGTTGGGATTTATAGTCAGTAGAAGGGGTATTCAACTCGATCATTCAAAGATTAAGGCAATTTAAAATAAACCTCTTTCGAAGACTAAGAAGGAGGTGATGAGTTTCTTAGGGAGGTTGAACTACATCAGTCGATTCATAGCTCAATCAAGCGTGGTGTGTGATCCTATCTTCAAGCTGTTGAAGAAGGACGCTACGACAAAGTGGACTGAAGAGTGTCAGACTACTTTTGACGCTATCAATAACTCTTTGCCAGATCCACCAGTATTAGTTCCTTCACGAGAAGGGAGTCCATTGTTGTTGTATTTTTCCATCTCAGATAGTGCATTTGGATGCGTATTCAGTCAACACGATGAGACAGGAATGAAAGAAATATCTATCTATTAGATAAGCATGAAGTTTACCCCACATGAGTCTCGATACACTCAGTTGGAGAGAATGTGTTGAGCTTTGACTTCGCTTGCCTTGAAGTTGAGACATTATTTATCTTCTTATACTACATACCTCATTTACAGAATGGAACCGCTAAAGTATATCTTCCAGAAGGCGATGCCGACCGGGATATTAGCTAAGTGGAAAATGTTGTTGAGTGAAGAGTATGAACCGCTTAAAACTTATTTTCACGATGAAGAAGTTTCATTTATTGGTGAAGATATTTATGAAACATACCCCGGTTGGAGACCATTCTTAGACGGAGCAGCAAATCATCAAGGTAAAGGTATTGGAGCAGTCTCCAATTTAATTGCACGAACATTAGGGCTGAATATGAAGCTTGTATTCTTGGTTTGATAATGGTCATTTACATGAACATCCATGAGCTATTAGTTATTGAAGACTGAGTTTTGTTGATTCATCAGGTTCATGTAGAATGGGCTGTGAAGAACCCAAAGAATATACCTTACGTACACTATGTACAAAAGTTGTGCAAAAGATTTTCCAAGATCGAGTTCAAACATACTCCCAGAATATAAAATGAGTTGGTTGATGCTCTCGCCACCATCGCTTTTATGATTAAGCATCCAGATACTGATTATATCGATCCTCTTAATATAGAGTTGAAAGAACATGCGGTCCATTGTTAACATGTTGAAGAAGAACGAGATGCTCTAGCATGGTATTTTGATATAAAGATGTATTTGGAGTCCAAAAATTATCCTGAAGATTCTACATCAATCCAATAGAAGTCGATACACCGTATGGCTCTCAATTTGATTCTAAGTGGGGAAATCCTTTATAGGAGGACTCCAGATTTGGGTCTTCTCAGATGTGTCGATGTTGTGGAAGCTGTGAAACATACTGAACAGATCCATGCTGGAGTTTGTGGCACGCATATGAATTGGCTCACTTCGGCAAGAAAGATACTTCGAGCCGGATATTTCTGGTTGACTATGGAGAATGATTGTTGCAAGTTTGTGAAAACATGTCATAAATGTCAAGTTCATGGCGATTTGATCCGAGTGCCACCTCACGAACTTAATGCTTTGACATTTGTAGCTTGGGGTATGGATGTCATCGGTCCGATAAAGACATCCACTTCAAATGCACACAGATTCATTTTTGTAGCTATTGATTATTTCACCAAGTGGGTGGAACAGCTTCTGACAAGTCGATAACCAAGAAAGTTGTGGCTGATTTTGTTCGTGACAATCTTCTTTGCAGGTGTAGAGTACCAGAATCTATCACTATTGATAATGCTAAAAATCTTAATAGTCACTTGATGAGAGATATATGTGAGCAATTCAAGATTAATCACTAAAACTCAACAGCTTATCGCCCTCAAATGAAACAAGATGTGGAGTCCGCCAATAAAAACATCAAGAAGATTATGAGGAAAATGGATGACAATCACCGAGGTTGTCGTGAGATGTTTCCATATGATTCATTGGATTATCGAACGACCATCAGAACATCGACTGGAGCTACTCCGTACTTACTAGTATATGGAACAGAAGCGCCCACAACAACTGAAGTTGAGATACAGTCATTGAGAATCATCCAAGAAACTGAGTTGAGTAATGCTGAATGGGTGAGAAAGAGAATCCAGCAGTTAACTTTGATTGACGAGAAGAGAATGGTTGTTGTTTGTCATGGTCTATTGTATCGATAGAGAATGATTCGTGCTTTTCATAAGAGAGTAAGAACCAGAATTATCAAAGTTGGGCAGTTGATCCTTAAGAACATTTTTCCTCACCAAGACGAATACAAAGGAATATTTGCGCCAAATTTGCAAGGTCCTTACATGGTTCGCAAAGTATTATCTATAGGTTCTTTGGTCCAATCGGAGAAAGATGGAACTGCAAGGACTGAACCTATTAACTCAGACGCTGTAAAGACATGCTACACATGAAGCTTTGGTTTGCATTTTTGTTAGTTAGTTGTAATCATTCTATTTGTTGTATTTGTATTGCTTAAAATTTTATCCCTTAGTAACGAACTAAGTCAGACCAGAATTCTTAATAATGAGATACGTAGGCGAACTTTGTAGACCTCGGTTACCCCATTTATCCCTTTTAAATATTTCTTAGTATTCGAACTACGTTCAACCTGAATTCTCAAGAATGAGATACGTAGGCGACCTATGTCGGCCTCGGTCGGTTTCTTTGTAAAATTTCATATTTTTTTATCCCTTAGAGGAACTACATTTGACATGATTCCTTCGTCAACGGGATATGTAGGTGCTACAAAGGTTCGGTCGTTTTCCCATAAGATCTCTTTTTTTTTACAATAGAAATAGGGACAAAATTTTTGAGAGGGACTGAAAAATTCTCGAGAAGAATCTTTCCTCAAAAATCCAAGACTGAAGATATTTCAAAATTTTCAACTAGGAAAGAGTTTTTGAGAGGATCTCAAAAATTCCACGATTTACTCAGCGACAGTTGAAAGATAAGTCGTTACAGTTAACTCGGACAGAAATTTTGTGGATGACCTCAATGTTTAAACTGGGGTTAATCGACAGTTCGAAGTGACTCTAAAAACTCCCCAACAAATATTCTGATAGACCTCCAAGCATCAGACTCAAAGAAGTTTGCTAAGCCTGACGTGACATGACTTTGTAGTGCCATTCTTCAAATGCTATTTCTTGAAAATTTATTTTTCTTAAATATTACTTTTTTGTGTTTAATTTATTTTGGCATAAAATATTTTATCTTATGAATCAAGGGTCGGGAGATCAAAAAATGAACCATAGATAGCAGGACAAGGAGAAGACAACTGAAGTTATCGACACAGATCATTTCTTTTTAAAACTAACAATTTTTCTGTGGATGCAAGTTTATGGCTTTCTCTGAAATCACCGAATTCCTCTGATCGATGAATACGGGCAATTCAAAGGAGGTGAAAGCTCTCTCAAAATCAGCAGTATTACTACAGATGCAAGAACTATTTTATATTTTTTATATCGTCAGCTTGAAGATACGGATGGTTTATTTCAGTCAATTTACAACAGCATGAAGCCTAAACATTTTTCAGCTTTATTCAAAGATGAATCAAACTACAAATATAAAAAAAATTCAGAGTTTCCGTAAAAGATGTCATTTGTATCATAATATCATATATGATATTACTACTACCCGAAGGGGTCATTTATTTTATTGTCAATCAAGACAATGCGCTACCCAAAAGGGTCATTTATTTTATTTTTCAAAGAGAAATGTCAAACCCTTAGGACGCAAGCAGAGGAGCGACTTCCACCACGATCAAACAAAATCCCTATCAGAAGGCATGTGGGTATTTCTTTAGGTCTATCAGTTTTACACTCGCATTAGGAAATTTTACTATATGTCAGAAGCAAGTTTCAAATCTGAACGACAATGCGCCAAAAGATTTGTAATTTATGTCCATGTAAGTTCTTAATTATGGGTGTGAAGCGCGCCACATTCATGTCTAAGAGATTACAAGTCTCCCTTTCATACTCCATTTAATTTATCCTTGTCCAGAACTAAAGGTTATCTAACATAATAGAATTTCTTCTTAACGGATCGCGTCAAACTACATACAGCCTGATTCCTGAAGATACAAGGATATGTAGGCGAGCTCAATGTTGAAAACTCAGTTGTATTCCAATATCCACTATTAAATCCTATTCCTAAGCATTTCGGTGCCATCATAATTCGGCATCAGGATGACTTTTGAATTCTTTAAAAGTTGCGCATCAAATAAACCGTATCGAACTACAAGTGGCCTGAATTCTCATATAGCTTGATATATGTAGGAGACCCATTTTTGGAGTTCGACCATAATTCCTAAAATTCGAACCAAATCCATGTCCTAAAGATGAATAATGTGGTCGGTCAAAATTGGTTTGGTCAATATCATTTTCCTCGGATTTCTTGCATCAATCCATGTAAATTGAGGGAGGGACAGTTCTTATATATATATATATATATATATATATATATATATATATATATATTACATAATTATGTATAAAATTAGTGTATTTTATAATTATATGAAAATTATCTAAAAATATTTTGTTTTAATTAAATATTAGTTCATTAGTTTATTTGTTTTATATTTTAAGTTAATTATTTTAAACTGCTAAGATTAAGAAACTCGTTAATTAATTAATATTAATTCGTCTTTGTAAAGATTTGATCGAATTTAACTAATTAGCTCAATTCGGTTATTTCTTAAACTCGAAAATCCAACCCACTTTGGGAGCACGTGTTGGGCCATTATATCAGCCCACTATTCAATTCCCAGCCCACAAACATCAGCTACAATATAGAATAAATACGAAACCCGACCCTACTGTTCTTCTTCCTAGCGATAGAAACTTTGGAAACGCCTGTGAAGTCCAGCTAAGAACCATGACCTAGTAGCATGAATACATCGTGTGTGCCCTCTCACTCTCACGCTTCGTTCTTTCTGGTCGTACTCGAATTTTGAGGTTTCTCAATCTTACACCTTCTTCGTCCTTCACTCTCAATCCAACGACTTAAAAAAATTTCTGTTGAAGAATTGGACAAGAATGGTACATTTTCCAGCTTTCAACCTTATCCCTAGGAGAAATTCAAATTTGGAATGGGAAATTTTAAATCTAATACCATCAATTTTCCCCCCTCTAGATTTCCCCCCTTTTTTAATTCCAATTTTCCATCTTATAAATACCCATACGTTTTACTATTGGAAAAAGTTTTTTTTGGAGTTTCTATCCCTTATTTTAGAAAAGAGTAAGATTAAAAAAAAAGAGGATTTCTGAAATTTTTGAATTCTTGAAAATAAAAAACAGGGGTAGTAAGTTACCAACTACATACATTTTTTTATAAATACAAAACACATAGATGTTTTTTAGAGGGGAGTTAGTGAGATTCTAGGCTTTGCTTGTGTCCTCGCCTGTTCCTTTGTTCACCGGAGTTTGTTCGAGTCTTCGGGGTTCATTAAGTTCACGATTGGTGTGGGAAGAAACTCTCTATCCCTCTATGCTTGTCATTATTCAGTATCGTTGTCCCAAAGAAGGTAGCATGCCTTTTCCTTTAGCATTTTTTTCTCAGTTCCTTTTTTAGTTAAAAATTTGGTATTGGAAATTTGTCATTATTGTTTGCTCGTCTAGTTAGTGTTTGTTCGATATTGATTTTAGTGGAGGATTCATTAAGTCGGTTTACAATCCAGTTAGAGCTTTAAAAATTCATTTTGTTTTCCTAAATGGTATATTAGTGTTCTGTTTTCCTTGAGCATTTTTTTCTCTAGCATAGTCGAGTTTGTGTTGGTATTTACTTAAGACCACTATGCCGCATTCCTGATCTTATCCAAATGATTCTATGGTATCCTTTTGTTGAACCTTATGGTGTGTTTAGTGCCTTGTTCTTCGACGGAATTCGTACAAATGAAATAGATGTAAAAGAAAAAAAAACAGTGGCATGCTGTGTTGATATTTTTCTGTCATGGCCATGTACTAACTGGTGACATTGACGTCTTCTCTTGGACATGAAGTGTCTTTAAGCCTAGTGACATCAAATTATAATAGCCTGTTCTATTGCATTTTCTCTCTTTTCGCTAATGATGACCATTAGCCCCACTGTTTACATTCTTCCTTCATGATAGTAAAAATTGTTTGTAGCTATTAGTGTTCATGATTCCTGTGGATTTACTAGTTGGTTATTCATTAAGAATTTGTGTGTGTGTGTGTCTTGGTTTGTTGCCTTATATAACTTTTATCAAGTTTTATTCTGAGTCGATTTGGGTTCCTTGGAAATTATACTTTAAAGCTGGGTAAGTTTTGTTAGTATTAAGCTCAATTTCTCAGAGTCGAGTCATTAACTTTTGATATTATTGTTTCATTTTAAAATTTGTTTGATTTTTTGGTTGAATTGCTTAGGGTAACATTAACATTTACTTTCTCTTCTTATACAAATGAGAGTAGGGAAATATAGGTACTACTTTGATGCAAATTTTATCTGTTTGTTTGAGGTTGAAAAATGCATATTATGATTGGAAATTGTTACTGCTTATATTTTTGTGTCACAAATAGAGCGTAATTCTTTTTCCTTTGTCTTGATACATATGACATCAATTTGAGGCCATTTTTTGACTCCCTTCTTGCATTACTCCATGTCGGATCTCTTTGAGTCAATCATTGATTATCATTGAAAAGTTGAAAGCCGAAATACATGTTAAAAAAAGCTCAGGCGCGCCTCAGATATTCTTAAAATAGGCGATTTATGTGTTGTATACATCAGTATATAGTTGATATACATGGCTAAATGATGAATTACAGGTCTAAGGTGCATGATACTGATGCAGGGGTTCAAATAAGGTTTTGAACGCTCGGTATACCACCCCATATACAAGAAACCAGGCTGATATACAGTTTGAATGCAGCAGTATATTCTAAGCATATACACAGATTTTCTAAAAAGAGGCTAAGGCCCAAAAGCCTCAAGTTATTTCATGCAGAATTGAGATGCTGAAAAATAGACCCAAGCCCATGTTTTGGACAATTTAGTATAGGAAAGGCGGGCCGAAGCCCAACCAAGTGGAATCTGGGCAAATTGGCCCAAGATCAAATTTTCATTTCTCTAACTCTTTATTTATTTGTCCTTATGTTGACTAACACTTTTTATTATAATTTAATTAATCCCCAATGTTTAGTCATTTTTTTATTTC